GTTCCAGAACCCGGGTGGGGCGGCGCGATCGGGGGAGGCCGACGGTCACCCGGGTGTCTTGCAGGACTTCGTGTTCTACGCACCCCGCCTGCGGATCAACAAGCGGATCCTGCAGCTATGCATGGGCAACCACGAGCTGTACATGCGCCGCCGGAAGCCCGACACCATCGAGGTGCAGCAGATGAAGGCGCAGGCCCGTGAGGAGAAGCACCAGAAGCAGCTGGAGCGGTGAGCGGCCCAGCCCTCCACCGGGCGGGGACAGCCAGGCGGCCCACGGCGTCCAGCGTCCGTGCTGGCTCCTGACGGTGGGGCCTCGGCGGCCTCGGCTGGCGGCTTGTGTGCGCTGTGCAGGCCGCTCTGCAGGCTGAGCCACCCAGGGCTGGGCTGACCCCACAGGGTCTCAGCAGTGGCCGCCTTCACCGGGACACAGAGCTCTGGCCTGGGGGCGCGTGGGCCCCTCACATGCCTCGAGTCTAAGCTCCTGGGCCACCTCTCCCTCCCCTGCACCAGGCAACAGCTGGAGACCGAGAAGAAGAGGAGGGAGACGGTGGAGAGGGAGAAGGAGCAGATGATGCGCGAGAAGGAGGAGCTGATGCTGCGGCTCCATGACTATGAGCAGAAGACCAAGAAGGCGGAGAAGGGTGGGCCTCGCGGTGCTGTGGGCACGGTCTGGGCAGGTTCTGATGCAGAAAAGGGTGAAGGGTGGACCTCGTGCCAACACCGTGGGCGGCGTGAGCCCAGGGCAGGTTCTGATGCGTGTCTGAGACCTAGCAGGGTCAGTCCACACAGCCAGGAAGGTGGACCTTTTCCAAGGAGTCTGGTCTCGGTTCAACACAGAACCCCCAAATACTGACTTCCATAGAGAAGCGATAAGACACTCGGATTAGGGACCGATTGGGTAAGGAGACGACCCCGTGCTGCATTAACTTCTGTGCAGTTTGATGTGCATAGCTTTTCATTTCCCGCCCTCCTCTGAGGGCAAGTGCGGAATTACCCCACTTTCCTGGTGAGGACGTTGAGGCTTAGCAAGGTAGGGTGACTCGCCCACAGTCACACAGCCAGTGAGTGGCAGAACCGCCTCCCTGCCCCAGCCTTGCTGACTGGAGACGAAGGGTCCCCGAGAGCCGGCCCTCAGCACAGCTTGGCGCACCAGCACTGCCACTGCCCTTCATCCGGGAAGCGCGGGTGCGTCTAGGCCTCCACGGCTCCCAGGCCGGGAGGACCTGTCATCTCTCCGGCAGTCTTCAGAACTCCGAAGGGTGGTTCTGGGTGGGCTGAGAGCTGAGGGTGTGCTGAGGGCGTGGAACAAGAGGGGACATGGGACTGGCCCACTGCAGGGGCTCTGAGCATCTCGGGAGGTCGTCCTGGGACAGCAGGCCTGAGCTGCGTGGCTGTCGCGGTCACTCGAGCTCCTGCCCACTGTGACTCAGCCTAGCGCTGTGGCCCCCGTGTCTCACCCGTCCTCCCGGCTGGGAGCAGAGGATGGCAGCCCTGGCTCTGTGTCCCCTCAGAACTCTCCGACCAGATCCAGCGAGCCCTCCAGCTGGAGGAGGAGCGGAAGCGGGCACAGGACGAGGCCGAGCGCCTGGAGGCCGACCGCGTGGCCGCGCTGCGCGCCAAGGAGGAGCTGGAGAGGCAGGCGGCGGACCAGATAAAGAGCCAGGAGCAGCTGGTAGGACTGCCGCGCTCCGGGGTGCTGAATTATGGAGAGGCTAACCCCAGCCGGGGCCAAGGGACACCTGCCCTGTCAAAATTGTTGCGGGGGCTGTAAGCTGATCCATGGCTCGGGGAAGCGCTCTGGTCCTGAGGGCCAG